TGCACAGATGTAAAAACAGAGAGAATACTACAGCAGCTGAAGCAAAATATAAACAATTGGGGAATTTGCATAATGGGAGTATGGAGATTTCTTGTACTGTTTTTGAAAATATTTTTTGTAAGTTTGGAATTATATCAAGATACACTTTTTAAAACCCAAGAGGAAGGCATTGTGACCCAGGAAAAACTTCTTCTTTAATAGGGCCCAGATATGATGGAGTTTTCACCAGACTCATTCCAGGTTTCATGCCACTATCCCTCATCATGTAAGCCCATGAAACAAGATTACAGTACAATTTTTCCAAAACAGTGTTACTCAAGTTAGTAGCTTTCTCCTGCTCTTTGTTCAAGCCATTGCAGAATATGCAGAAAGATGTATAGCTTACATATATTGTCCTTTGTATGTGTGTTTCTCACAACTGAACATCTGATGAGATTTGGACCACAGATAATTCGAGGTTCTCATCTCTGGCAACAATTTAGAATGGAGCCCTTCTGTGTTACCAAATTCAGGTGCATCTGCTTTAACAGGCAGGTAGAACAAGGTGATAACCTCTTAGGAAAAATTGTAGATATCCATGTAGGCAAGGCCAACTACTCTAATGAGAGAACAGCCCTGGGTTCACTCCTAGAAGACATAAATTCTCTCTGAAACTCTGTGCCATAAATATGTCAGTGATCATTTTAGCTTGGTACATTCTCCAAAAAAGATGGAAACATTGTTTACTATGGCATCAACAATACCTCAATGTAGCTCCCCCAAGCCCCTGTCCCGAATGTCTACTTTTGAGAACTGTGACATTCTTATGAGACGTCCAGGACTTAATTGTGAAAAGCATGTAAGATAGTGAAGTTAAAAATTATCAAATATAGAGAATTATTGGCTCTGAGCCATTTAAATATTTGAGAGACAGAATAGTTGATCTTAAGGCTGTTTTTCTGACAGTAATTAGCAAGACCAACTACCTGATGGGGCTGCTCCTAGTACGTGACAGTGAAACCATGTGTGGGGGGGAACAGGGCAGTTCTCACACAGCAGGAAAAAATCGCTGTCTTTGTAGTCAGGCTGCCCACAGGACATGCAGCTCTGGCTGGTTTGTTTACCTCTGAGTCCCACTGTCCCCGTGAGTTTATCCTGTTTTCTCTGGGGATAGTACTCCCTGGTACCCACTGCAGAGCATTGTTTATGAGAGTCAAATTCCTAGTCATATCTAAGTAGGACAGGCATATAGAAAGTGCCCAATATCTCTTTCAAGAGAATAAAAATTTTATAATCTCAAATGCGGTACTATCCCTGTAGTCTTCTTATATTTTGTTTTATTTGTTCTGCTGCCTAAGTTTTTTTTAGTTTCAGGGGCAAGCCCCAGCCTTCCCCTAACAGTTGCTGGACCTCTAGACAAACGCTGTGATGTAAAGACACTAGAACAGCAACTCCATCTCCTCCTCAGCACTCAGAGGTCTTATTGAAAATGGACACCCCTCGCTCCATTTTGCTTTTTAAACCTCTGATCTTCGCCAGTCCAATTCCAAGTACAAATAAGCTCCAGGACAGCTATTGGCAGTCCAGGAGCAGCATGCCAAGTGCCCACAAGGAGCTGGTGGGCTGTGGGCTGTGATGGTCAAGTTCGTGGTGCTGGCGAGCTGTGGGAACCTCCTTGCAGATGTTTCCTCTGTGCTGGCATCCAGCACTGATCAGCTTGTGTCGAAATAACTTTGAAAGGAACTTTTCCATTCACATTTATAATGCCACCTTTAGGGTGATTGTCCTTAAACTCTTTTGGCTTACAACTCCTTGAGGAATGTGATAAAATCTGCGGGTCCTCTCTTCTCAGAAGAACGCACATTTGCTTACATATACTAAAAAAAACTGCACATAATTTGAAGACTTTCCATGGAGCACTTTCAGGATGGTTCATAGAACTCCTTTGAGAGCTCAAACTGGCCATGAGAAATCCATCTTCCCCTCCCTTTGAAAAGGTTCCCCTAGGGCTCTCTCAAACCTCTTAACAATCTTAGAATATATAATTCAAGATGATGATACTAACTACCACTTATTGAGCTTTCACCATTTGTCAGACACTGTGTATTCCTTATATCCAAAAATGGACTCTCCTTGTACCTTCCAAACCTGCTCTTCCCACAGCCTTCCCCATCTCAAGTAACACAAGCTCCGTCTCTTCAGCACTCAGGTAGGGCTGGATCCTTGCCCCACCACGGCTGTCTCCTTCCTCTTAGCGGTAATCGTCTCTCTCTGCTTGTATGTTGCAGTGAGCTCCGTATTTCCACCCTTACTGTTCTCAACACAACAGCTGATTGATCCTATTAAAATGCAAGTCTTATCATACTGCTGTTCTACTCAGAATCCTCCAAAGGCTTCTCATTTCATTCAGAGTCAAGGATAAAATCCTTCTAATGTGCTGCCCATCCAGGGGCTGCTGTTCACTTGGATCACAATACGTTGTGCAGTGTGTGGTGTGCAGAGCAGTCCCCTTAATGGTCAGTAGGGACCTATCCAGGCTGCCCCAGGGCTCTGGCTCACTCACTTCTGTGACCTGGGCTCCCTCCTGCTTTTCCCTCATTCGCTGTTCTAGCCATGCTGGCCTCCTTCCTGATTCTCAGATCTCCCGGGCCCTCTCTTGCCTCACGGTCTTTGTACTCATTTAAATGTCTGCCAGGAATAGTCGTCCCCCAAATATCTTAGCTCACGTCTTCACCTTTAAAGTCTTTGCTCAAAAGTCACCTTGGTGGGGCCCTGGCTGGTTTGGCTCAGTGGTTAGAAGTGTTGACCCGCAGACTGAAGGGCCTCAGCTTCGAAGGACACGTACCTCGGTTGCAGGCTCGATCCCTGGCCCTGGTCGGGGCGAGTGCAGGAGGCAACCAGTCGATGTGTCTCTCTCACATCAACGTTTCTCTCTCTTAGTCTCCCTTCCACTCGCTCTGAAAAGTGATGGAAAAAATACCCTCATGTGACGATTAAAAAAAGTCACCGTGGTGGGGCATACACTGACCACCCTTATGAAAACGAGGCCTCACCTCTACCCGGGCACTCCTTATCTCCCTTTATCTGTGCTGTTTTTTTCCAGAGTAATCATCTTCCAACATACCGATAGTATCTAATTTATTTGTTTCTCTCTTCCTACTGGATTGCAGGCTGTGCTGGAGTGGGGATTCTTGTCTGTGTTGTTCAGTGCTTTGTGTGCAATACCTAGAAGAGTGACTGATAAGGGTTCAAATACCTTTCGAATGAAATGAACAAACCCTAGGAAAATATATTAATCTTTTTTTTGTAAATATGGTTTTAGATTCAACAAAATCAAGCAACTTACTCAAAGTCACACAACTGCTAGGTGGTATCACTAGGATTTTTGCACTTTCTGACATCAAAGACCTGTGTTCTTAACCATTGAAAATGTTTCTTTCCAAGGACATGCAGAATAAAAGGTCACAATGTAGTCCCAAAGTGACAGTCACACAGGCTGAGGAGGCAGAAGCTTGAGTTGCTAACAGTGGCTACAAATTTTGGGGAAGGGGAATCTGGAAAGAGGGCACCCACGGGCGAGGTAGTTCAGAAATCTGTGCACACTGACCGACTCCTCAGCAGTGAATGCATGGGGCACGAGTCTAAGTAGCCAGGAGCTGGAGCTTCAGCAGCTCCCACCTCAGGAGAGGCAGAGTTTGGAGTTCATTTCCTCCCAAGGTACCAGGGAGGGACTTAGTAAACACCACAAGATTTTCATCAAAATTCTCAAAGAGCCAAGTCTTAGGAGTAAGAACCACATTCCCAGAATAAAAAATAAATCATAGTATTTATGCATAAGTACCATATTAGATTTAAGTTACTGCTTAGAGGTAGAAAAAATTCATTGTTAGTTTGCAGGAATGCCGTGTTCCTTTACACCTTTTTAATACTAGCTTTGTGTTAAGCTATAATTATACCCCTCACAAGATGCAGAAGCCTTAGAGGGCAATGTGTTTTGCTGGCATGTGCTTTGTGAAATACATTGCAAAACAACCAGCCATTGCTGCTGCATCTGCTTTTTAGAATTTAAAGTTAAATGGGCAAGGTAAAACAAAAACCTGTGAGTTGATTAGTTGCTTTCGTCTTTTATCAAATTTGGTATACTTGTGATACATGCTTTCCCTTTTTTTTTAGGAGAAAAGCTTTAAACTGTCTGTAACCATTTTCTACATATACATTGTTTCTCACATTGCTTATACATTGTGTTAAGGTAGCAGTGGTTAGTTTCTGATGAAACTATTACCAGTTTACCGATGAATGCCTTACTAGCGCCAGTTATGAACATAATTGTGTTGTGTTTTTTATTATTGTTTCCCTATTTATTTCTCACTGTAGCCTTTTTGTCTCTCGCTCATTGTTCTTCTTGAGATAAGCGGGGCCAGTTGAAAGGTGAATGGGCTCTTAGTTCCAGGTGTTTTGATCGGGGCATGTTGTGCTACTTTTACTTTGGGGCTCTGAGGAGCAACAGGGAGGCTACCTGCTGCCTAATACACATTTTGGGAAGGGTGCATAGAAATTCTGGGAAATAGGGAATCTGCTTAAAAACAGTGACTGCTAAAAAGGAAAGATGGGATTTTCCTTCGTGCCTTGTTTTGTTCTGCTCCTTGTTTATTTTAGTCATTGGAGTGGCCAATGTTTTGGTTACTCCACAGCAAGTTCAATGCTGTCGCTGGAGGCAGAGGGCTCTGGTATGCTGCATTTGAGAAACTGTGTTTAAATATATGCAGAATTCATGTAATAGTTTTAATGGCTATACTCTATGCGAGCTCATTTGATTATAGTTCAGGGTAGTCATTATCTTATGAAACTGTATTACTCTGTGGATTTAGTAATATTCCATATGAAACTATATACTAAGAATTGTACCCAAAAATCATATATTAAAATCAGTACCTTATGGTTAATCCAAAGTGATTAAAGGAAATACTTCCTTCAGTTTATGAACACAAGTCAAAGAAAGAAAAAATATATTTCATTTTTAGATTATATAAATGGTGGAGAACTTTTTACTCATCTTTCTCAAAGAGAGCGTTTCACAGAGCGCGAGGTGCAGATCTATATTGGGGAGATCGTGCTCGCCCTCGAACACCTCCACAAGGTAAGATGCTCAAGCTTTGGGATTTCTCTTTCGGAAAAAGCTACTGAAGTCATGGTGGAGCTAAAAGAGCTCATGTTTTTATGTGTCATTGTCTCTGTGGTGATTGTGAAAGCACCCTGGTAGACCGTTAGCCATGTTTCTCAATGTCATAGTTTTCTCTTTTTTTCTTAAAAAAAAATCTTTATTGATTTCAGAGAGAGGAAGGGAGAGGGAGAGAGAGAGATAGAAACATCAGTGATGAATCATTGATCAGCCGCCTCCTGCATGCCCCCCACTGAGGACGGAGCCCAAAACCTGGGCATGTGCCCTGACCGGGAATCGAACCGTGATCTCCTGGGTCCTAGGTTGATGCTCAACCGCTGAGCCACACTGGCCGGGCCATAGTTCTCTTTTTCAAAATCTGCTTTTCTTTAGTAGTTCCTGTGATGCAGATTTAAAATGTAGAACCTAAGCAATTTTTTATTTTTTTCATGAAAAATCCTAATGCTTGTTACAAAGTATCATCAGAATAAAAATTTTCATTCTTTGGTATTCTTTTGTTTTAGTTTCAGGTGTACAGCATAGTGATTAGACAGTCATATACTTTACAAAGTGTCCCCCTGATATATCCAGCATCCACTGGCACCATACATAATTATTACAGTAAATTTTTCATTCTTAAAATAACCTTTAAGACAAAAGCAGAAATCATGATATGTGTCTCCTTCGTAGTGACACTCCCTTGCGGACTGCCCTTCCGCCTTCAGGGCGCAGCGCCTGACTCGGCGGGGAATCTGCGGCGTTTGGGAGCAGCGTCTGCCCGGGCTGCCCGGCCGCGCCAGGCTGGCTCCCTTTCCCATCGTTTTGTCCCTGAGGCCCTCTCCCGCTCCCCCTGCCCCCTCCATTGCCTCCGTGTAGCATGAGCTCAGTTACTAAAAACTTTAAATGAAGTCCATGTCTGTGATGCTGTTTGAACGCTATAAAATCAATTTAAATTTCTTTTAAAAATATTGATTTAGATACTATTAATCTTGATCCAAGAAACTTTGACTAAAACACCTTTTTTTAACTTAATAAGGAAGCATTTTTGTGGAAGCAGACAGTCATTGTGTCAACGAGGCTCCTGCTTCAGAAATGGAAAGCACTGGAGCAGGAAGGCCTGGGAGCTTACAGGAGGCTGGCACGGCCTGAGTCACTAAGTTAGGATGGTGCGGGCACATCGTGAAGCCACTGTTCTTCTCTGTCATGTACTCAGACCCTACACTAGAGAACAGATGAACGTAGAGGAGAATGGAGAGGAATGAAGAGAAAGGGCAGGGGGTTAGAAGGCAGGTGGAGGCGATGGGTGGAGAGGCCGTGGAATATGGTGAGAGGGAAGATGCGGGGCCAAGGAAAGGGCAGATCCAGCCTGGCCAGAAATGAGACGGCAAAGGGGGGCGGGGGGTTCAGAACAGGAACCTTAAAGGGAGTGAGTGAAAAGTATATAAGAACAGGAGGGAAGGGAAGAGGCTCCAGGGGCAGGGCTGCGATGCCAGGGAGAAAGGAGCAAAGCTGATGGGAACAGGCATCTCTGCTCCTTTCGATAGACTTGTTGGTGTGGTGACAAGCTTTACGCCTGTGATTATTTTTGTGGGATATAAAGTAGTTAGGACATCTTTTTATACAAGAACCAAATTGGGCCCAGGAATAGGGGGAAAAGATCTTAGCATTTTATGGTTAGGAATATTAGATGTAGTTTTTTATAACATGAAAATGATGGTGGAAATCACCATAAATTCCAGAGTAAAAACTTACAAAATACAGAGCTCTGATGGGAAACTCAGTAAATTCAGTTTTTAATTTGTATGAAAGCTTTAATTCTGTTTATTAAAGGAAGATCCATGAACATTCATTATCATTAAAACAGGGTAATCAGAAACACAGAAGTAGAGAACATGATGGATACTGGATATGAATGTAATTGATATGGAGTGGAAGTACTATCCAGGTCAGATCTCTGCTAAGCTAAGTCTTACTACTCTAAAAAGATAAATACAAAGAAATATAACACAAAGCCAGTTTTATTAGTCTTGATGTAGCTGCCAGCACTTAGTTCCTCAGGAGGAGATAAAAACGAGAGTTTATTTGGAAGCACTGTGAGACTAAAAACAAAGAAGTGGCCACTGTGGGATCTGGTCAGTCTAGAAAACACGTGGAAGCCATTAGGGAAGCAAAGGGCATGCATTGGCTAAGAAAGCACCAATTATCACCTGGAGCGAGGATGGAGTCTGTGAGAGACAGGAAGAAGCTGTGGGCATGGGG